TAAGAGCAGTGGTCCGAGGTGCTCAGATAGGTACCGATCGAGTTGATTGTGGAGTATCCCAAACCATTGGGTCTGTCTGAAGGTACTCCAGGTCTATAGACTCTATCCGAAGGTATATGAACTTGCTAGTATGATTGGCACCATTTGGTTATTAGTTGGAACAAGTGCAAATAACTGAGGTCTGGATCTGCTAGGAGATATCCCCTCATGTATGGACTACTCTAGGAAGGGTGATATTGGTAGGGTCCGGGTAGATTTTCCCACCATTAAAGCACCAGTGCATGCCAGCTATCGGCCGCGGGCCCCTTTCAGAGGCCTCGTGCCGCCGATTCATTTTATCTATGGGGCTCGGCCTCCTAAATTTTGGGAGAGGCTCAAAACAGGTTCTCCATTGGCCTGGGGTCATGTACTGGTGGTTTAAGGGGACAGTTACAGGTGTCCATACTATGTATGGGGTATAGACTCGACAGGTCTAGGCCTGCTACCCCCAACTTGAGTAGGCTGCGGCCTACAGGTGTGCGTGTGGTGTATGGGAGGGGTAGAGGGACTTTGTAGAAGGAACGACGAAAGGCACTTACGATTCCCAAGGGATGGGTTCATGATCATATCTTGTGAGTCCCAAGGACTGTGCTTCAAGCGCTTGCTCATGGGTTGCTCATCACTTGGGGGGAGTAGTTGGTCCACTAACCCATGGGCTCTACGTCCACCTTAGGCTTGCACGACATCTGTTTCAACCGGGGCTGAGCAGGGTAGGCGTCTCAGCTTAGCCCAGGTGCCTGCAACTGCTGTCTGACAGGTCACCCCGCCAAGATGGTGATGGGTGATGAATCTGATGATCCTGGGTGGTTAACACTAGGGTAGGACAGGGGGAGTGGGGGTGCACCAGGGGAAAAAAAGATGAGAGGAAGGGTGGGTGGGGTCCTCAGAGGGGTTCATCTCGACAACCGAGTGGCCGAGTACTGTGGGTGACTGCCATCTGTCTAGTATCCCACCTCTACAACAACCTGGGCTTAAAAAAAAAAAAAAAAAAAAAAAAA